TCATCGACGAGCAGCCCCGACTCGAACCAGACTGTGGCCTCGCTCCAGTTCAAGAACGTGTTCAACCCCAAGGCATCCATCTGGAGTTTACGATTCTCCAAGACGAATCGCGGCTGCCTGGGAGCACTATCCAACACTGGGCACTTCAAAACCTTCGACATCGCGAAGGATCATTTATCTGAGGAGTTCCGTTCTTCAATTGACGAAACCCTAGGACAGGGCTCTTTTAAGAACTACCCCGAACCAGTCTACACAAAACACGTGCGGGACGTGTGTATGCCGTTCGACCATCCGACTAGAGGCACAAAGGAGAAAGACCGAATGGTTTCGTTTGATTTCTTGAATTTCAGTTTCTCCTCGCAGGCCAGTGCAATTGCATTGGACGGCAAAGGAAACCCCCAAATTGTCACCAGTCGCCCACCTTGCCCGCCAATCGCGGTGTCCTCTCAGAGTGTCTTGGCCTGTGGTGCTCTGACTGGCGATGGTGCGGATTTCAGAACTATCCATCCTCTTTCCGAACACATATCACCTGTATCTGAGCTTGTCGAGGGCATTCGAGCTCGTGTTTTGTCCAGCTCGGGGGTTTCCTCTAATTCCGGAGTTCTGGGCACCGAACCAGTCTTTAGTCGAGAAAATCGGGAGCGGGAATTGTCTCTCGGTACACAAGGCACTCTCCTCACTGCGAAGGAGGCTTTGACTTTGTCCTCACTCAGCCAGTATCGAGCTAAAGAGGGCTACCTTTTTGACGAAGAGCAGAACCAGAAAATTTGGGCAGATGACTCTGCTCTGCGAGACTTATGGGCCTGGGTGAAACGTAAGTGATACAGACGATTGTCTTTGTGGGGAGTTTTCTAATTCCTTTGCAGGGGCTCAGGTCGACTCTTCAGGAACAGCAATGGTGGTCGAAGGAGTCGACATGAATTATATAGGCGTCAGCAGTATCTGGGCCAATGAACTGGGTCGGTCTCCACACCACACTCTTTCTGAAAAATACTGGATTTGCTGACAAGATGACAGGCGACGACTTTGAGCGTCGTCGAATTTCGGCCTCGAATAATCCAAAGGAGATTATCAAACAGCTAGTCGATCAGCTCAATCTCCCAGAGGTCAAGGGCTGTGAAACAGCATTCCCAGAACACCGCCGCCTCTCACTCCGTCTCTGCGGGGCGGCGCAGTCCTACAAAGAACTTGAGGGAAAAGTCAAAACTCTCTCTGCGGAGAGTCAGCATACCAAAGCCGCCGCGCTGGCTATTTTCCAGGATGAGCCCAAACTGGCATATCTTGGGCTGCGTAGCAATCAGCCTACACAAGCTCATAAGCTATTGGCTATGGCTATCGCTGGTGCCGCTGGTGCGACAAAAGGCGACAGCAGCACGGATTGGGAAGAGACATGCGCAGAGATATCCACGGAGCTCACTGATCCATATTCACGCGCGATCCTCGCACTTGTGAGTAAGGGCGACTGGCACGCAGTAATTAAGGAAACCACGCTGCCTTTGAAGTATCGGATCGAAGTCGCACTTCGCTGGTTACCCGACGATGAGTTGACTGTCTATTTGAAAGATGCCACCGCAGAAGCCGTTAAAGAGGGCGATGTTGAAGGAATCGTGCTTACCGGGTTAGGCCACATGGCTATTGAGTTGTTCCAATCGTACATTGACAAGTTCAACGATGTCCAAACACCAGTTCTAGCCATGAGCTATACCGTCCCCAGAATCATCAGCAACGAAACATACATTGCCAGATTCGAAGCCTGGCGCGAGGCTTATCGGCGATCACTGAATTCCTGGAAACTCCAACTCGAACGTGCCCGCTTCGACGTGAACTCTCGTCGCTTCGCAGTAACCGTCGATGGACGCAAACTCGTTCCTCCACCGCCACAGCAGGTCAGCTTGACCTGTAATTACTGCACGCGACCGCTCACTCAACACGACGCCTCATCCCAAATATCTCCATCAGCTACAGGGGAAACTGTGCACTCCACCATCGGCAACCCTCTTGGACCTAGCGCCCTGTCCGGAACAGTCTGTCCTCGTTGCGGTCGGCATATGCCTCGTTGCGGCGTTTGCAATCTTTGGCTGGGGTCACCAGATCCGATGTCCCGCTCTGGTATTGCCGCTGATGCCGAAAATGACGCTCGCAAATCCACGCAGGCCGATATAATGCGGCGGTTCGTTGTGTTTTGCATCAATTGTAATCATGGATTTCACGCACACCACGCGCACGACTGGTTTGCGCGACATCGAGTATGCCCTGTTGCGGAGTGCAACTGCATTTGTGACCGTTGAGCCTTTTATTCTTGATCTTTTTTTTTGGCACTTCCATTGGCTGTTCTCTTGTGGTTGGCTCGACTGGTTGGAGTATGTTTGCTGGTTTCTTTGAAGAAGGGCCGAGGAGTTCAATGCTTGTCTTCGATACCCGATACCCATTTATTAGCATATTCAAGTTGCGCATTTGAGATGACCTTAATCCTTAACATTGTACTTTCGTAAGCTACTACGTATTTAGTTTCGGGGCCATCACTGCATAGCACGAGGCTGTCGGGCCCACCTTGCTTATCGTTATCGTCATCGTCATCATCATCAGCCAAAAGTGCCTCGATCAAGTCTTTTTGGATCACATGTTAAAAGGGTAAATACAACTAATAAAAACAGGGCTGAAAGGTGAGACCGCTATCGTTTCAATGATGATTCCTATTAGAGACCCCGACTCTGGCTCAGAATGAAATGTGGTGAATCACCTCATGAGTCACTTTGACTGGACGGGGCTTTGTTCGGTCTGACGCTGCGAGACGCTCTCGCCGCGCTGCCCCGCCAAACCAATTTAAAGCTCCGCAAGGTTCTCCATCAGCTCCAATTTCGCGCGCACCGCGCTCCAGACCCCACGCCTGCAACTCGGCAGTTTATGTGAGAATATAACTATGCCTGATCAACCAAGAGACAAGGGCAAGCGAGGCCGCGGTGGCCCTGTGTCCCGCGATGTGCAGATTTCCAAGGCGATGAGCTTGCTCTTGCGACATGCTGCTGAGAAGGAGGGACTGAAGATGAATGACCAGGGATATGCAAATGTAGCAGATGTGGTACGTTGGTGCTTGTTCGAAGGCTACATCTCTTCACGTCGAGGCCCCCTGCTTACCTATTGTCTATCATATAGCTTCAATGGAGAAAGCTCAAGTCCATCAAAGTCACCTTCGACGAGGTCCGGCACGCCGTGGGCTCCTCAGACAAGAAACGCTTTGCTCTCCTGCACATTCCCTCAGCCCGGCCAACCGAAACAACAACAGCGGCCACGACCGTCCCCACCACGAGGCCGGGATCAGAACACGAGGCCGCGCAGTCTGCAGCTGAGGCTGATGGTCAGCCTTCTTCCCCTGCGATACTCCAGGCCCCCGTCTCAACTGAAGAGCAGCAAAATGCAACAGAGCAAGCTTTATCCGTAACAGACGCCGATCCCTCCAATTTCCTCATTCGCGCAACTCAAGGACACAGTATCAAAAGCGTGGACGCGGCATCCTTCCTCGAGCCATTATCACTGGATGATGCATCCAAACTTCCAGAAACGGTCGTCCACGGTACATTCCATGGCGCATGGCCCGCTATCCTGCAGTCGGGTGGCCTTCAATGCATGGGTCGTAATCATGTTCACTTTGCAACGGGACCATCCTTGGAGTCTGTTCTCGGGGCGCAGCCGGATGCAGCTGTACAAGGGAAAGGCGAAAAGAAGGTCATTTCGGGCATGCGGTGGGACACCCAGGTACTCATCTATATTGACCTTCGCAAGGCTCTCGCAGCTGGATGTCCTTTCTGGCGCAGTGAGAATAATGTCATTTTGAGCGAAGGCCTTCCCGTCCCGGGTGGCCTCGAGGGTCCTGACGGGCAACCAAAGAGAGTTGTGTCGGTCGATTTCTTTGATGTGGTGGTTGAACGCAAGGCTAGACTTGGAAAGATCTGGGAGCGAGGAGAAACTCTACAGGAGTTACCGGCACATCTCGCTAAAAAGGGAAACCCCAAGGTTAAGCGGTGATAGAATCACAGCCTCGGAATGACAATGCATTGAATGGCATTACTATATGACTATGACCAATGAGAAAAAAGCAACATTACTTCTTTTGTATAAACTCGCGCTACAATGCGCAGGTTGCGGTATTATTCCACTCGGATAGTTTATTATGATTGGCCGATTCGACTGCAGCTAACTATAGATCAGAGCCCGATACAGCCCGGCTATACTTTTAGAGCCAGCGCACCGGGTATATTATCTCTGAGCCTCATGCAGATGGCCATGGTCGCCTGATATAGTCAACGATAGGTCGATCGTCGTGTGTGGGGAAGAGGAGAGCGAATTGCGGGGAAGACGCAATGCACTGCACTGCCAGCACTTCTTGGGCCAACTAGGATCGTCTGATGCCAAGTGGGGATGGCAAGTTCCGAGAAACTGTCGTAGAAGTTCCTAATACCTCGTACTAGCGAGTAATCGTAGATGTCACGCCTGAGACAACTTGCCGGTACCATGGGAGTTGACCGCTTCGTCCCGAAATATGTACGGTCTTCATCCCCTCGTGACTGAATGATTCTATGGCCGACTATTATTAGTGACCTTGAACTATGGAACAGCCTTAGAACACACTAAGGCCCGCCACCATCTCAGGCTAGTGCATTTATGTGTATTAGATCTCACTATACTTGCCCAAGACTCAGCCTCCCGAGTAGAGATCAGTCGTTGTTGTCATAGGCTGACGTTCTAAGACAGCCCCAGGATACTCTACATCTCAGCGTCATCATATTCGTATTCTGCGAGGCTGTCGTCTGTTACCAAAATTATCATGTAGTAGGGGTGTAAACAGCTGCCCAGGTGCATCATGGACGATGTCGAGAGGTATATAAAGGTCTGTAGATTTCCAGAAAAGATATCATTCAGAATCACAAGAAACAACAAATTACCAAACACTCCAACAATCTATCTGTCTTCTCAATAATCTTCCTGATTATCCATCTTTCAAAATGAAATTCTCCGAGATCATCACCTTCTCCGCTGCCCTTGCGACCTCCGCCAGTGCCAGCCCCGCGAAGCGTTCGGCTGCCCGATAACGTCGACATCACCTTCGAGGGTGCTGCCGATGCCTCATTTACTCAGTCCTTCCCTACTGATGGCTCCGATGTTACCATCAGTAAGCTATTACTTGCACATTTGGCTATGATATACTTATAACGAATACTGATCGATCTCAGCAAACGTGCTGAGCATCTCGCACATCACATCCAGCACCAACGGTGTCACTTGCACCTTCGAAGGCGTCGACAACAGTGTGACTTCGCTGAGTGGAGCTGGATCCGTTGATGTCGGCCCTCCTCAGACTCAGGTCTCTGGACACTGCAGCAAGCTGTGGCGCCGTAATGCCCAACCTCAGCGCCGCAACACCGTCTTCGTTACATTCGAGGGTGCTGCTGATGCCGAATTTAGCCAGCACTTCCCTACTGACGGTACTCCCACCAAAATCTGTACGTCCATCCCATGATCTCAGAGACTACTCGCAGATGAGATCAGGACTAACTGCAATAGGGAACCCTCTGAGCATCTCTCATATCCAGATTAACCAGGCCGGTGTCTCTTGCACCTTCAATGGCATTGATAACTCCGTTACCTCTCTCACTGGACCCGCAACTGTTGATGTCGGCCCTCCCCAGACCCAGATTGAGGGTACCTGCCATGCTTAGATTCGCTTGCAAGGAGCTCTTCTTTGACGAAATACGATCCTTTTGATAGCTACTTTTGCCTTTTTGAGGGATGTTTATAAATTATGAAATAGATCTAAACGATCAAAAAGAACAAGGGCAGAGAGAGAGGGAGAGAGAGGGAGGGAGGGAGAGAGCCCTGGTGGTGGACATGAATTATTTGAATAGGTCAGAACTTGAAGGGATAGGAACATAGCTGGAAGCATTATAGAGCTTCGACCACTCCTTAATACTGTTGATATGAATTGATTGCAATCGTTAATATACTAAATTCTGTCTTTTATTCCGTAAGAACTGCCGGGGTAGTATGACTTGAATCCCTAGCTGGGTTCTATACTAGATTTTTTCGGAAGCAGATAGCTCTTTTAATGGGGAGATATACTCCACAGTATTCCAAAGAAGGACATTTTTAAGGGACTTTATTTTCGGGAAATTGATGACAAGGCAATATTTGTAGGAAGATCTAATTAATATCTATTGCCCATAGTAAATCTCACGGAAGAAGATCCGTCACCCGGATTTACCTACTGCAGGGGACATCCGACTGCGGGGGATCGGAAGCGTACTTCAGCCCCGCCTTCCAATGGGCCAACCCCCCCGATCCGATGGCTTTTCAGACCCGACGTCGACATCGAGGAATATCCGACGCCTCTCGCCCCAACCCAATCATGCCACCGCGCCATGGTTATGCGGGGTCACCCTCGAATAAGGATCGATTCGTTGGTCAACGGGCCTCTGGGGCATTACGGAAACTGCTGCTGACGATCCGTTGATTGCCGCTCAAGCAGCAAAAAAAATAAACCCGTCGGATCAGGTGCGCGCAATAAGGCGATCCATATATAATCGTTCGTTAGGGACATTCCTCTCGTCGCGAATCTTACACAGCATATTTTCTAAACTCAAATTTAACAACCCTCCCCCCATAACTATACTCAACATGGCGACACACCGGTTTGACCCCAACTTCACCGACAATGTCATCGGTGCAATGGGTCCTAAGACTTCGCCGCGTCTGCGCCAGCTCATGACCGGCCTTATTCAGCATGTTCATGACTTTGCGCGCGAGAACGAGCTTACCGTGGATGAGTGGATGGCTGGTGTGAAGATGCTGAATTGGGCTGGCCAGATGAGTGACGATAAGCGCAATGAGGGGCAACTCGTTTGCGACGTGATCGGACTGGAGTCGTAAGCATATACAGCTTGGACAAGTTAAAAACTTGAGTTCTCTGACTGACTTGATTTGCAGTCTCGTTGATGAAATTACATTCAAGCTTGCCGATGAAGCCAAAGACGCGCCCACTGCAACCGCGATTCTGGGCCCGTTCTTCCGCGCCGATACCCCATATCGTGAAAATGGCAGCGACATTGTGGTCACCAAGCCCGAGGACGCCGAGATGACTTTCATGCAAGGCCGTGTTATGGACTTTGAGACTAAGAAGCCCCTCGTCGATGCGACGGTCGAGGTGTGGCAGGCTTCCACAAACGGTCTCTACGAGCAACAAGACGACAACCAGATCGAGTTTAACCTGCGTGGCAAGTTTAAGACCGATGCCGATGGGCGTTATTACTTCTACTGCTTGCGACCGACACCTTATCCTGTCCCCGACGATGGTGAAAATACCCCGAAGATGCGAGGTTTACCGCATGGAACATGGACTAACTAGTTGTACAGGACCTGCTGGCAAGATGCTCGAGCTGATGGACCGCCACCCCTTCCGCCCTGCTCACATCCACATTCTTGTAAGCTTCTTCTTGACACGATGCCAGCATCACGATTTACAGGACTAATTATTGAATAGGCTACCCGCGACGGATACCGCCCTCTAACAACTCAGATCTTCGACCGCAAGGACAAATACCTAGACAATGATTCTGTATTCGCCGTCAAAGACTCCCTGGTCGTGGACTTTGTCGAGCGCAAGAATGATCCTCAAGCTGGTCTTGAGCTCAACTACGATGTCAAGCTCGTGAAAGACGCATGAACATAGCGCGCATTGCGTTTGTTGTGAACTTTTGTAATGTCTATATGAAAGCGTTCTCTATATCAGTTTGGATTAAGATTCTTGGAAATATTATGCATTTAGCTTCAATTTCAATCCTTTCTCATCTACGTGCAACAAAGCCTGTCCATCGCAAATCGTAATATTTCTACTTATTATAGTGAGACACCATTCGCAAACTTTGCGATCAATCCGCCGACCTCATCACCAGCCTCAATGCAATGCCAATGACCGACTCCCGTCAGTACCTCAAGCGACTTGCTCTGGCTCGAGACATGGTCAAAGATGTGCTGGCATCCCTCCATGGAAGCCGACTTGTCTTCTTCACCTGCAATAAGCAGGAAAGGCGCTTGAATAGCGGCATAATCCGATGCCTTCGCAGAGGCAATAGCCCGGCAGAGTGCGGCATATCCCTTAGGGTCCTGACCTGACAGCAACTCTCGGATAAACGCCTTCTGCAGCGCGGTACTGCGAGAGCCAACAGCGGCGAAAGGAATGGCATTAGCCATTGGTTCCATCCCAGCTGTGACAGGTGAGAAAGTCAGTACCGTTCGCAAGATTTAAGACTAGCACAAGATGGGATAATCGGCCTACCTTCCAAGACCGTCTCGGACCTCTTGTTCATCACCGTAACGAGAAGCTCTGATGGGTGCGTCGGTCCAATGGCAACGACACCTTGCACACGATTTGCGTGACGCGATCCAAGCTCTGTCACGACCAATCCGCCCATTGAATGACCGACGACGATCGCTTTTGGGACTCGGAGCGCGTCAAGCACCCCGATGATCTCGTCTGCGATCCCCGGGATCGAAACCGAGTCATTAGTGTAAGGCGACCGGGCGGCGCCATAAGTGTCAACGGTGATACAGCGGTGCTTCTCTGTGAGATGAGGGATGACGGGATAATAGTAATTCTGCGAGGATCCCAGTCCATGAATGAAAATTATGGTGTGGCCGTTTGCTGGGGCACCGTCCGGATGAGAATCGGCGTAGTTGAGGCGGTGGCTGTTGGCTTGTACGAAAGGCATTTTCGTCTATATCTCAGAAAAGACCTGGAACTTGAAGACTGCTCGAAAAATTAATTTGAGTGGTAGGACTGGTCTGCGCGAGAAGGCTTGTGGAAGAGTAAAGTGCCCGGGGGGGTTGAGTTCGGAAGCTGATCTATAAATTCAAGGTGTGTCGTCATTAGGTACCGATAAGACAGACCCCGGTTTTCGCTTCGACTTCTTAGCGGCTTCTATTTTCTGTCTGCCCCTTCTTTTGCCAGAAAACATTTTTATCCGTCGGAATTGACTGGTTCTGATAAGCTCGAGCTACCCAACCCCGTCTAGGCGTGAACCCGAATGAGGGGCATTGCATTGCGGCATCCGAGGGCGGTTCCGCCTCTCCCGACCGTCGGCTGGCGCCCGATCTCCAATGCGCTGGGGGTTCGGGAACCGTTTTGCGCAGTGATTTATAAGGCCTGACCATTTCGGATCTCTGGAAAATGAGCATGTCATTGTAACATTTACTCGATTTCGGCTTTACGGGTGTATTCGTCCACGAAAAGAGGGAGAGAAAAGGGCATATCAATTTCATGTTCAGCACTCCTGCCCAGAACGCTAAATGCAGCAAAAAAAAGTATAGACAGCTAAGGAATAACCAGGCGCATATGATGACTCTTGGAAAATGACAACCGGCAGGCAATTCTGTAGCCGGGAAGAGAGGCATGTAAAAGAACCAACTCTAGCATTCTTCTATCCGAACCAATGGCGCAATGGAATGATAATTGTGCGTTCCAATCCAACTACTCGTAGATCTCGCAAAATGAATCGCCAGCACCACGCTCAAAGACTTCTTCCATATAGTCTGCCGTGTCATCTCGAAACGAATCATTAGCCGTAGGAATGGTGTTCATGACTGGATTGGGACGGTCATTTGAAGAAGGGTGTACGATGATGGCAGGTTTGGATGGCAGATGGTCCCTCGGGCCGGGTTGGATGGAGGGCGACTCTATCACAGCTTCGGCTGCTTTGAGAATGTCTGCGTCATCAAATGCAGAGCAATCTGAGAATTCATCATCATCTCGGTCATAACATAATGCCAATGTCTCATGGCTTGTGTCGTTTGTAATCTTATCGTGTTTATTCTCCTCTAGAATGCCTGCATCCTGGAGACAATAAAGCTCTCGCTCCAATTCTTCATCCAAGTCGTCAAAAGGGTCCGTGTCTCCGTCGGCTTGGTCACTTTCAAGGTTTGCATCAAGTCCATCAACTTCATCGGGGAACACTGCCTTTTCTAGACAGAGGACTCCGTTTCCTGACCTTTCGTCTCTTGCGCCATGTTCATCGCCTTCTGTCGGGACCGTCACCTCTTGGAGAAGGGGCGGGTCATTCTCTGATTCTGCGTCAGGGTCATCCTTTTGAATGACTGCATCACGATCATCGAAGTTTTCAGGAACAAGTGCCTCTTGTAGACAGGATAATTCATTTTCCAACTCCTCGTCCAAGTCGTCCGGTCCATCTGAGTCTTCCTCTGTATCTCCCGCCACACTATCGACACCGGAACCTGTTGTATCATGCGCTAGCTGTGGTTCCGGAATGGGCGGGGGTTGTCTAGCAAGGCCTAGGAAGTTCGAAAGCAACGGTTGACTAGAAGAAACCTTGCGGGCATTGGGATCGGGCAGGCCAAGTCGCTTCCTTTCCCGCTCCTGCTCGTCCTTCTTTTTCTTGTTGGCAACACGTTTCTTTTCCTTCTCTCGTATGTTTTTGGCACGGCGGTCGAGTTCTTCTTCGCGTTCGATCCGTTTGAGTTCAGCGGCCGTGAACCGGAATTGTTTGTTGCTGCGTTGATACCGGCGACGCACGGTGCTGGATTTCTCAATAACGATACGCCGCGGCTCGTCCGGCATGTTGGAGGCAACCGTTCCGGCGACTGCCTACCGATTTCCAAGTCATGAGGGACGGGCGTGGGTTCATTGAAGATTGTTGGGTTGGGTGTTGGCTGACGGGTTTCCGTTTGTTGCTCGGCGGGGATACGTTGTGCCGAGATCAACAGACTGCCCGTTTGGGCTGCACTTGCTTTGCTCTACTTTTGTCCTGCCTCCACACTCAACCTTACATCTTAAAAACAATTTCTATTTTAAAAGGAAGGAAACAAAATATTGGATAGCTTGTGCTAATATTTATCCTTTGGGGCTAATCTAGATCTTGCAGTCACGAACCGGGTCCCAGCACACAGGCGCATACTCATCCAGATTCAGACTTTCCATGTCATCCTCCGACAAGGTGAAATCGAAGACTTGCGAGTTCTCAGCAATACGCGAGTCAGTGACGGACTTGGGCAGAGGAACATATCCCTATTACAAAAATCATTAGTACCCTACCATTGACACGATAAAATAGCATCACATACCTTCTGCAAGCTCCAGCGAATCAAAATCTGGGCAGGGCTCTTTCCGTGCTTCTCGGACAGCTTCTGGAGAACCTGCTCCTTCATACGAGTACCCTGAACAAGGGGCGAGTACGCCTCGACGATAACATTACGCTTCTGCAGCCACTCGGCGACATCATCACGTGGGCACCAAGGGTGAATCTCATACTGGCCGACGGAAATTTCACCACCACCACCGCTCTTGATATACTCTTCCAATTCCTCTAGCTGCTTGATGCCAAAGTTGGAGACACCAATGGAACGGATATGGCCTGCCTTTTGGGCCTCAACCAGGGCGCGCCATGTACCAAGACGAGCCTCCTTGCCGCCATAGGGCGCGTGAATCAAGACACTAAGAGAAATGTTAGCATACACGAGCATCGAAAAATAGATGCAAGGCAGAATCTGGCGCACAGGTCGATATAGCCAAGGTTGGCGGCAGCGATGCTCTCTGTGATAGCTTGCTTCGCATTGTCGTAGCCCATCATAGTGCGGGGGACCTTGGTCGTGTAGAAAATCTGCGACCGGTCAAGTCCGGACTGGCGGATAGCGGCGGCGCTTTCGACTTCATTCTGGTAGACTTTGGCGCTGTCGACCTAGCGATGTGGTCAGTTTGGGGTTATCCTTGGCGGTTTGGGATTGTGCATGTCCACCCACATGACGGTATCCGAGCTCCAGAGCCTTGAGGGTCACTCGCTCGGTAACATCGGCAGGTCTAATCGCATGAGTGTCAGTTGATGTTGAGGGTGAGTTCAAATGGGATATTAGAGACATACGTCTGGTAGACCTAAAGGAGCAAAAACTTGTCAGAATTGAAGCATGGACATGGAGCTCTGATGTCAAACGTGGGGGTAGTAGCTTACTCCGAAACCGACGACGGGGATCTCGTAGCCCGAGACAAGCTTGTAAGTAGACTGGAGAGATAGGCCGGCCATGATGAAGTAGATAATGTGCAAAGGTATTGAACAGAGAGGGGGGAGAATGAAAATGCAGAACTTGGAAAGTTTAAAGTGCCACTTTGACAGCGTTGATTGATAATGATACCTAAACCCTCCATTTCACGGACCACCTCGGTTGCGTAATTCCCGCCGGGTCTCGCCTCCATCTGAACCGATCACTGGCTGGTCCATGCCGATGTGGGTTCTTCAGGTGTGCTGGAACCCCATTAACTCCTATAGGAATGAATCATGGACTACTCGTACTTGTAGTAATGTATAGGTGTATGATCATTTATATAATATCACCAGCGCTGGCCCGAGGCTACCGGTAACTTACAGACGGACTTGGAGCTGCCACAATTCGTTCTATCTCAATTATCATCCAACCATTGAATCCAAATTGGGAAAGTGGCACGCATGGGGTGAATCGAGACTTGGTTATCGATATGTCGCGGGCATCCTAGGATAGGGTCCCATCCCAGGGCAAAGGACCTCAACTGGAATTGGTTTTCTAGGGTTTAAATTGGAGCAAGAGCACGCATTTTCCCAAAAGAGTTCCCGATGCAAATTTGGTATCCATCAATTGAGCAAAGTGGGGCCACTGATGTAGTGCCCTAGGGGAAGTAGGTACGACGAGTAGGTACCCCAAATTTGATATTGAGATTGTCAGTCGTCAGTATGGGACAGCTAGTAATACTTTCAGTGTACGTCATCCTATGTACAGTATTCCAAGGTATGTCATTATCCACACTAAGTGTACATACTAACTTGAAAGTTCTAGGTCTGTTGAGCCCTTCTTCACTAAAATGCCTCGAAACTTCTTGTTCTTAGTCTTCTGTTCCACTTGCTATTTAATCACTGGCCATTGTACATTTTATATTTAGATATATGAACAAATTAGAAAAGACTTCAAGTTGGAACTTGAATATATCTGCCAAACAGCCGAGTAGGCGGTCCCGAGTGGCAGTATCAGGCGCGGGGCGCTGCCAGGTATTTATCGAGTTTCATTCATACCTGTCCTCGGCAGGCTCCCGTGAACAATTGGTTGAGAACAACTCGCTGCTGGTACGACCAAATTGACTGGCCGAGGATCATCACGTCGTCTTTTCCGGGGATCGATCACAAATTCCGCATAACTCGATCCGCCCGCGACCTTGCATATCTTTTAACACAAGTGGGATCCGCAAAGTCACTTCTCCAATGCGTCTCATCAAGAATAAGATCGAGCATAATGGCTCAGGCACAGTTACCCTGTGCCCCGAGGAGCCTGAAGATATGGTATTTCCGACCAATCCTCCACCAGCTACTCCGCCGACAACGTCTAATATGATTTGATTATAATAGTGGCACGCCTACAACTTGATCCGGCCAAGTGATGTCCTCCGTGCCAGCGCAATTCGTCGCATCACATCAACTCAAGAAACCGGGTCAACTTCATCCGCACGCGTGCACCTTTCCCTCGAGATTCGCGTCAAAAACTTGGATTTCGACCCAAAAAGCTCGCAGCTCCATGTATCGGGACAAATCATGAACGAAACCGCTCACACTAAGATTGGACAATTTCATACCCTCGACCTGGAGCTGAACCGCAACTTTACACTTGAAAAAGAGGTCGGCTCAAATGGCGAAGGTGTCGGTTGGGATAGCATTGCTGTGGAGATGCTGAAGGATGCTGTGGACGAAGGCGGCAATCGACGCGCCGAGGCTATTGCTGTCGTTATGCAGGAAGGACTGGCACATATCTGCTTTATTGGACAGTTTCAGACGATAATGAAGCAGAAAGTAGAGATGTCCGTGCCGCGAAAACGGCAGGGCGGCAGTGATCATGATAAGGTGAGTACTGTTGCTGCAGTAAAATCATCCCCGGAAGAACTATGGCTAATTTTATGGATAGGGGATGAACAAATTCTATCGAGTGACACTAGAGACTCTCCTTCGGCAGATGGAATTTAATACCAGCATAACGTCCGCTTCTAACAACGAGTCCGTACGACCAGTCCTACTCGCCTCACCTGGGTTTGTCGCTGCCGGTTTTCAGAAATACATTCAATCTGAGGCTTCTACCGCAATGCCTGGTCTCAAGCGATTACTTCCCAGCGTCGTGGTTGTTCACTCCGCCTCCGGCTACTTGAACTCCTTATCGGAGGTTCTTCAATCTCCCGCGGTCAAGAATATGTTATCAGACACTAAGTATGCCCGTGAAACAAGATTGATGGATGATTTCCTGGACCAGCTCCGGAAAGAGACCAACAAAGCGACCTATGGCCCGCGTGAGGTAGAGTCTGCAGTGGACCAGGGCGCTGTCGGGCGCGGTGGCGGTATTCTCATTATGTCCAATCGCTTATTCCGATCCCAAGATGTTGCTGAGCGGAAGCGATGGGTATCTCTCGTGGATCGAGTACGAGATGTCGAGGGCGGAGAAGTACGAATTCTCAGCTCGGATCATGAGAGTGGGCGACGTCTCGATGGACTTGGCGGCATAGCAGCACTCTTGACATTTCCTATCATTGAAGATGACTTGGATTCCGAGGAAGAAACTTGATAGTTAGAGTCAGAATAACGAAATATGAATCATGACTAGAGCTGCCCCTTCGCCAAAAATTACAATCCGAACCGTTATTTTTCATGTCAGTAATAGAACCGAGTATTGATCTACTTTCACGGGATCCCATACAACACTCTCGGATCTTGAGGACCCGCAATTGATCCTTCGACCGTGGGGTTTCTAGTGCTATCTGTTGTGGATCACCATGTGCCTGTGGAAATGATACAATGTCTTTTTTTAGGCACACAGGCTAGATGGCCTGATAACCCGATTTTTAGCCTGGGCACACTTGGGCAATTTGAGCCGAAGCCATTCATAGATCTACATAGCTGCATTATAAGGATTTGGGAAGGGGCTGCCAGTGTTTGATGGGGCTAAGAACCGGAAAGTCGGTGCTTGCGAGGGCCGTTGCAACTATTTATAAAGAAGATTGCTGGGGCGGGGGAATTCCGAACCTTGAATATCAGCAGGGGCAAATGTGGAGTGAAGGGCACTAGAAAATTAGCGTCGCCTCATTTCTCATTTCTTTCTAGTGGTTACTACTAGTAGTTCAACTTGACTGCAAAAGGAATAAGCACGCTGCGTGCTGTGGTCGGCTCCGGGCGCATCATTGTTGGGGCCAAATGGTAGAATTGGGATAATGTTCACAACACCCCCCCCCCCCCTCCCTTCCCCCCAGGGCTACTGGTATTGCTCGGATTTAGTGCTTACTACTAGTATGGCCGAGGAATAGCTAGAAATTGCTCGGTATACTTGGCGAATCATTTATAGTGACGCGTACGGTGTATGAATATCCGATATTATGTGGCTTCTCTCCGAATTGGTTGATATTGGGCGGCCGTCGTACTACCTTAACACTGCGTAAGCACTTAATCGGGGTAAGCGTTACACTAGATACTTGCAGGTGGGGGCCTAACTAGCTACCATGGGGTCCAAATGTTTCAAGTTCTAAGTATATCTTCAAGCTCAGCTGGGTCGCAAGTATTCGCTTCTATGGCTTGGATTTGATTGAAATTGCGCTATTTTCGGAATACAGGTTTTTGGCAAGTGTGTATGTAATATGCAAAAGAATGATAGTAATAAAAATCCACAGGATACCGAGGTGGCTCATGTGCTTCGAGAGATGGGGAATATAGCTGTGATGATGCGAAAATGCCGCCAATGATAACGATGATGTAGGGTGTTGATTACTTCGGTGAATTGCGCCGAACGTTTTCGAGAAGTAGATGGTGCGGGGGGTGAACTTGGGGGTTCAGATGTCGTGGAAGGTGACCCTTGTTTTTCTGCTAGATCTTGTTTCGTATCTAAAAGGGCTAGTTGTAATTTACATTCCTCGGGTGTATAGCCCTTCATAGAGCCCAGTTCTTTCATCTAGAGACCTATGAGATTCAGAAAACCAAATCGAAGCAGAAGATTTAATGCTCACCTTATTTGCAATAAATCTATACTTCTCCTGTTCCCATGATTCATGAGCGCTGGTCAGAAGTTGTATCTAAACAGTAATCAGTTAGCACCCATTTCTGAATATCTAAATCTACCTTTGTCCTCGGAAATAGACTCGTGTAGTATGGGGCTCACGTACTCACTTCGGCATCTTCCCAGCGCGATGTCCGTTCCTTTTTCCGACGTCCGAGTCGCATCTGAAGTCGAGCCTCAGTGGCATCTTTTTCGAAGTGCTCACAAAACATGTCACGAATGACCTTCCACGCGTAGCCCTGCTCACGCAAGCTTTCCACAAAAAGATCCTCTTGCTCTGCTTGCGGGTCACGACGACCGCGACCTGGTGCACGAGGTTTGGGTGGCATGATCGGCGGAGACGGCCGATTACTTCCTACGCTCGCGATCACGCTCCATGCGCTCCATACCCTCTGGGTCTGGGAGAATGTTTATTGGGGTATCTCTTGATGGTGTTTTGGAGGGTGTTCGTTTCATACGTTTTGGAGGTGGAGCTCGCGGTGACGCGGCGGGAGTTTGGCCCAGGCCATAGTGCAGGTGGTCGGGAGCATATGCATAGTTTGCGGAGGTTGGCGCAGTTGTTCGAGGATATTCGCTTGGAAAGGGTGCGCAAATTCCAAGACCTTGTGGTTGAACAATTGGGTCGTTGACGTAGCGGTATTCCTGAGGGTGATACTCTTGCGCTCGGTGGCTGGCTATCGGACTTGGGTGGAATGAACTGTCTGGGAGGCTAATTGGCGTGAGGACGTTCGGATGTACTATAGGCTCGGAACAATATGGTTGATTTACATCCATAAAGGGGGGTTTGAAACGAAGGCTAAAAATATCCTTGATCAGCGAGTGCGTTTCAGTGTGGGCAACTATGGCCCCAACCCCGGGGTTGGGGTTGGGGCCGGAGTCGGAGTCGGTGTCGGTCACTTGACATACTGTATCAACTCCAGTCCATTCGGGACCAAGAGTCTGATAGTACCCCTGCATCTCTTCCCCAGAGCTGGGGAGCCCATGGCCTCGAGGTAGGGACATGGTATTAGGCGTGCAGAAGGTAACTACCACGTATGTAGTAGTAAGTTTATGATTCTGCGGCCCAGGACGCAGTTGATTGGAACAAAATGTTCAGGTGGCAGAAGATGAAACACGAAACAACTCCGTGCAGGAGTAGGCGTATGAAGGCGGCGGTTGGAAGTGTATAGTGGGTGGTGAGTTGCGGAGATGGCGTGTACACAAACACAGGCGTTTAAAAGCGATCAAAATATGGCTATTGTCCACCACGATCCGATTAGCAACTTGTTACTTTGATCTAAGGCACCATAAATTGAGAATCATGAGGAGAAACAGAGGGGCAGAAACGAACAAAGATATAGAGTCAATTCCCCTCTTCTCTAGACGCAATATCGAGATATCACAGCCCACGCCGGAATGCCTCGCGAGGCAGGATGAACAAGCAGTTTGGCTTGAAGAACCATAGGCTCAGAGTGCACCAGAAGCTGGAATCAGTAACGCTGGCGGACGTGCTGCATCGAAGCGCTCGGGGGAGGGAAAGTGTAGACTCGTCGGTAGCCTATATTTAAGCGCCTTTGAAACCAATAGTGCCAGCAGCTCCATATCGATTCCGGCCCCCAAGCTTCATCCAAGCCCCCAAAGAAGGGGTGGGCACAGACTCCTAGTCTGCAGCTTGGGATGATGAATGATTCCAGGCCCACATCGTCCTTGTTCAGCAGTGTCCGAAATCATCATGACGGCCTGACGAGAAGTAGGGGCCGACAACCAAGAAGGGTGGAGCAAAAGCAGGCCAACAGATCCACGTTGCCGGGCCCCAGAAGGAAGCACCCGGGAGAGTGGAGTGGGATCTTTAGGGCCAAATTGACAGCTTCTGATTAGCGCTGCTAGAGCCCCTCCGAGGGATTAATAATGGCAATAATCGATTCTAGGTTGGCGATGCACAGGCATGCGGTTCGAGGGATTCCGGATCTGCGCTGGGGCAGCAGAACAGGATCATCAAACCCATTGGCCCCCCTCTCTTTATTTTCGATTTTCTTTTTCTGTTTTCTGTTTTCTTTTCTCTTTCTACAACACACACTTATCCTTCTCCGCTTTTAATTTCTGGTTTCTCATTCGTGCTCGCTTTGATTGACCGCCGCTTCTGCACAATCCCAGTCCAAACCGATGCAGCCTTGCGATAAAGTTGTTTCAAAGAGATTGAGTCTCGCCATTAACTTATCATTTAGTAGAGGATCACACAGCCACGGCATGCATATTTCAATTTTCAAGACCTACCAAGGAGGTCTTAGAAGATTTGTCATATCACGAGAGTCAAAATGGCTGAGAGCGGCTAGAGTGGTCAAAGTCAAAAGATCAAAGGGAAATAAATGACCCTCTGGGGTGCTTGGAGTGATCCATCCATTCAACCTCATTTTCCAGCCTAGACTTCCTCAGCGGCTCTTGACTGGTTCGGAAACACATCCTAGTCTGGTGAGGCTGAAAGCAACAACTGCTGTACCCGCGCGCAGTGCCTTGGTGGCTTATATCGGAGGATTCAGGACCGCTGGTTAAGCGCTGGCAGGGATTCTCCCCCACCACATCTTTCACCATGCATTCTCACTCCCACCAGAAATCTTCTTCTGGTGTCGCGCCAATCAACATGGAGGGCACAGCCATTTTCAATCACAAGGCGAAATTCGATTTCCAGTTTAGTGACGGGTTACCACCTTAAAATCTACGAGTAACCTGTCGAATAGCTCCGTCACTTCATCGGCCTTCGTGTCCCCACATCGCGTCGATGAACGGACCATCCTTAGTCCTACGTGGACATGTCAATTTCCATAATTTAAGCGCCCCCGAAATTTCTTAGTCTGGGGATGTCTAGTAGTATGTGCTCATCACGTCGGCGGTGGCCCCTGGACTGGATCGATCAAAGAATGATAGAACAAAAAGAATTCCAAGGGTGATAGGAAGCGAACTCTCACGCTGCCTAGGCAATCTCGGTATATCTCCGGAGATTTCCAAAAACTGCCTCGCCCGTGAAACACAAGCGGCTTTGTAACGCGGGGGCGAACCCGTTAGTTGGCATTGAATATGAGGGAAAAGTTGCGGGTTGGGGTCCGATAATATGAATAGAATGACCGATGCACAGTCAAGTTTTCCCGTAAATCACCTAGCTTGGCTGAGCAATTGGGGCCAACAGGAATCATACGAGCTAAATAATACTATCATCGGGAGTCCAACGGCGCAGTCCAACAGCGCAGATCCTGAATATCCAGAGTGATATTGTGACCTTAGAAAAGATAAATTCCGAAAGACTGGCTAATAGTAGTATGACATACACAACGCGTTCCAAGGTTCAGGGTGGGTCGCGGCCCCTTCCGTACTAAATACGATCGCTCCATAAATGTTTCCGGAAATAAGAAAGCCAAAAAGTAGAAAATAGAAACATAGCACATCAATCAAAATGCGTCCATCTCATTTTCCAGGCAGTTTCGTGACAGAAACCTGCAAATCATGAGTATGACGATCAACGACCTTGGCGAGCATCTGGGACGAGGTCATCTTCATCCGAGAATCCTTCTAGACCATCTTCATGATCGTGCCCGTGATTTTCCAAGGTGTCATCCGCCGCCACAGAGATACCGCGTGCGCCCCATCTGTTGGTGTTGGGCTGGCCGTCTCCTTCCGTCTCCTCTTCCCGGAGATATTGCTCCTCATCGGTCGACGTGCGCCGAGCACGGAAATTGACCACACGGTTGACTATCCAGCTCTTGTTATAGTCATCCGAGTCCACCACGCCACCGTTGCGGAGCTTCACGCGCTGGCGTGAATAGTATACCCAGGCAAAGTCGACATAGAAAGCGGTTTGGATGATACCAAAGATCAATGCAATGGGATCCCAGTGCTTCTCGGAGCCAAACCCACGCACCATCCAGTTGAGAATATAGAGTGCTCGATAGGATCCCAGACACGCAAGATAGTAGGAGTCGATCACGGTGGGAACCGTAGTTTGGCGCAGAAGAAGGAGCTGCGGCAGCACACACACCGATTCAAGAACAATCGAGAATGCCCAGAATAACTATCAATCGGTCAATAATATGCTCGACACGGTACATTTGAGTTCGCGGGAATGTCTCCACTTACCTCGCTCAGCCAGAAAGAAGGAAATCCTTTGTACGTAATGGCGATAGCAATTGGAGCAATGACCACTGAGCCAATTACCGACCATATACCGAGCTTCCAGGCACGTTCTCTCTCTCTTGTCCGAGGATAGACCCGCATCATCAGAAAAATGAGGTAGGAAGAGGAGGCAAGGAACACAAGCTTGAAGGGGGTGTTCCATAGTACTCCGGCTCCATAGTAGCTAAAGGACCATGAGTAGCTCGAAAATAAGTCCAAATAGCGAGTGAAAAAGACGAGGGCATAAAGCAACTGCGTGAGGAGCGAAACGCCTAGACAGAACAAGGTCTGAGTTAGTGGATCATGTTATCGGACGGAATCATGAAAGGGCTATATTCCCTACCCTCAGCACTCTTATTCCTATGAATTGCCCATACCAATACACAGACAGATGCAAGATGGGCGATGTCGGCGATGACACGGAATACGTTGAATACCGCCATGGCGCGGAAGGGATGGCTGGGTGCGGGGAGAGAGGTGTTCGAGTTCGATCAAAGGAGATCGCCTCTGGAATAAGCCCCGATTGACTCTGTTCCGAGTATTTAGCGGGTAGCAGTTAGGTCGAGGTCACAGTCCTGCTGGTCCCAATCCTTCCAAATTTGCAAACCACAGCAGTTGACGTGGAGGAAGCTCCCAGTCATCACGGGAGCTCCACGCTATCGGCGCCGTAGAGCTCGGGCCGCGTGTCCTCACGTGAGACTTGACGTCAGCATCGACACCCGATACTTCAGGTGTTTAATATCTTGCAAATGCAGAAACGTACAGCGATGGGTGTTATATTCTAGTCAAAGCTTTTTATAATAATATATATTAAAATAATATCCGAGTGAGGGTACTAATAATACGGTCAGGCTAAGCAATGTGACACGATACTCTTCGTGGTGAGAACTGATTTCTTTGGAACTAGTACTCGTACTCGTACTAGTCTGTTTTGGGAAGAACGCGGTATGATCAGAACCGCCCTTTTTGACGGCGGCTGGAAAGTATACATATCATCATGTCGTGTTGGTTTTTCAAAGCCTAATATATTACAAATTTCTCAGATCTCTCTCGCTCTTTTGAATACTCTTATTCCTCCCATCCGACTTGCAATACCGCGCCACTCGAGAATATACCCAAGATGTCGACCACGAACAAGATGGACATGCGCGAGATTGACCTTTTCAACCAGGGCCTTGGCTTTATTAAGGGTGTCTCCTGCAAATTTGAAAATGTAAGCTTCACGTGTCGCTTCGTCTATTACCATGATGGAAAGGAATACATATGCCCGTCATCAAGTATATTCAGTGGTCTTTTATTCGCCGAGTACGAATTTCGGGTGATTACTCAACTCAAAGAGGGCTACATGGAATTAAAGTCAACCAAAAACATGGAGCTCCCTTGCTTGGAAAACATCGACGTTAAGTATATTTTACGAAGCAAACCTCTCTGTGAAAGTGCATGCCCTACCTTCGATTCTGAGACACCTCTATATGACTATCCGGGAGGATAGAAAGTGGTATCTTCGGACCACACTTAAGAACCGATGTGCCGAAACTGGCGGCTGCTGTGGTCAAGAGTGCAACTGTTGTGAAAAGCGACTAAATACGCTACAAAACTCGGGTATGAACGGACATTGCCTGTGGGCCTGTCCTTGCTGTATGAAAAGAAAGAGGTTCTATCCCAAAGCCAACGAGGAGACCATTGTTGAAAACAGTATAAGGATGCCCTAGAGAGTGACAATCCGGCCTTTCTCATATATATGGCGGATGCCTACTTTTCAAAACTACAAAAAAGTCTAACACCGAATGACGAGTCTCCCGCTAAGAAGGGTGATTCTCAAAAGATAGGAAAAGGACCAGATAAGGATGGACTCCACGCGATGGTGGTCTTGCGGACAGAGTGACAAATGAGCCTCCTAACTCCAATCCCCCACCATACTCGGCAACACGTTCTCAAAAGCCCAAGTGGTTCTCTACTAGTAGCCTTCAAAGGCATAAGTCAAACAAATAAGCTTGTGGCCTGAACCTCAGCCCACCCGGGATCATTTACCGTATCCACGCGATACCTCTACATACCAAAAACCAAGGTCCCGGGGGACTCTCAGTCGATTCGACCAGGAATGGTTCTGGGGGTATATGTATAGAGCGAGCTCTGAATACTCCGAGGTTTTCTTCCAAAAGCAGAATAGGTTTCCGATGTGGAGCTATCCTCCGCGCCTCGAAGGGGTGGACCGCCGTTTTCCCGTTTGTGATATTCGGATACACTACCACTTCTGTATATTTATTTCAGGGTTACTTTGCTATGCCACGGTCTTCCTGTTCTGAATGCCGAGGCAAACCCCCTAAGAATAAAGCAATTGAAGTTCACGCAAGTATCGGAGGATTATGCCAAAGTCGAAACCATGGCAATGCTATCAGGGAATTGGCCCGACTAATATGTGGGGTGGCATTAGCTAGTAATAGACAGTATATGCTGGCACGTTCCACCGCATGGTTGGTTATTTCTATGTTCGGAGAATTATTTGACGACACAAGCGAAACTAAATTACTCTTGAAGCTGCCTACCTACGCAGTCCCATCTTGGGCGGCCATGCTTAAAGTTGGAGGATGAACTGCAACCGCTATGGAGACTGTCCGATTCTTGGTCGCTTATTTGTGGCTGGCATCTGTAAAATATCTCATAACAAGGAATCTGGTTTGCTATGAGAATACCATGGAAAAGATCTTTTATCTTGCTATTTATTTATTTATCTATCACCCTCCGCTTATCATCAACCTCCAGCACAATAAGAACGACTGTGCCATTTTTGTTTCTCTGTCAGCTTTGGAACTACCAATCAACGCCGAGGTCTAGACTAAGCATGGACCGGACAGTAGTCCCGGCCATTTAGAGTTAGCCATGTCCTGCTGTTCTCAATGAGCAGCAAGTGGCGAAAATTAAGTAGTGTTACCAACGCGGTAAAGGAAAGCTGGTGAAGTGCAAAGGTAGATATATGGATGTAGATGTCAGTATTCTTTACCAAGGCGATAACCCGAACCTAAAATATCTACAATAGAGATAAGTAGCCAATATCTCCATCAATATCTGAACTATAGGTAAATGATACAGTCCATCGATATTCGCATAGAGACGACACGGAAATAGGCGTAACCAATATGTTAGGCTAGTATACACATCAACTTTCTGAAAAGTGATGGAACCCAGTGATGGGCTTGGTAACCACGCCAGGCATCTCCAAGATGGCGCAGTCAGAATCAAATTTTTATCGGGAAACACGAGATGATATAACGGCCGGCCAGGGTTCTACTCTGACTTACGAGCACATGATCCGACGGGATCTGAATTGATTGATAAGATGACCTCTGATTCGGTCGTGGCATCAACAACGAGCAGAAAAGTTGGAATTAGTCCGTGTTCTCCTTCAGAGGGTTTTATAATAAACGGGCCCCATCCATCCCCATCATAATGTAAAAGAAATCCACCTAATGTCGAGAAAACGCACGATCCCGGGTCGGCAATTCATGACTGCAGTGCGGCGCCTCCGACCCAGACCGTTCATTGGTACAATCATCGAAGAATATTACTTTGACAGGCCCGCATTGCTCCTTCTTTCGCTCACGCTGGCTTCCTTGAGCACCACGTATGCTGCCATTTTTGGCTATCTGCAATTGACGGGGGATCCCCGTTAAAGCATCCATGTTTCAAGCTGCTACCCATTACCATGGAACCCGTTCTCCCCGGGGAAGAGGGGCCGCATGAAACACGGGAGACGGTCAGCACCTCCCCAAACAAGCGATCGCGTCGAACAGTGAGAAGCAAAAATAGAGGGGAAATAGAGAGGGGAGCAGAGAGTGGCTGCACACGAAACCGACCTGTGGCTTGAACTAGCCCGCCAAGACTCGGGTTGGACGGGGACAGACTTCAAGAGGTCGAAATCCGGAGCAGACATGGTTGCGGCTCGCGCTTCCAGATCATTGGATGCCTTTACAATAGAACGTCCGGGGCGTTATTGGATCTTGGTTGCCATCCTGGCACGGATTGTGAGAGTTCGCCGGGTCACCGGATTCTGGAACAGGCCACTCGCGTGTGTCTTCGGCCCAAATGTCTCATGGAAGCTGCCGGACGTGGGCCATCATGCTTCTGCAGAGTGCTCGTCGGCCGAATTAGCGGGCAGCACAAGCACATCAGTGGGAAGGCCCCTGCCCGGGACATCTGTTCCTAGGCCAAGTGACGAACGGTGGGTGGAATGCACCGGAGGACTAGCAGGCAAGCAGCAGATTTGCAGGTCCTTTTTTTAGGGAGAGAGAGGGGAGACAATAGGTTCCCCAAGAGATTGAAGTTGGCCCATTTCCCGATTGGGTGGATAGATGAAGGGGAATTGTGTATACTCCTCGTAGTAGTAGCATCGAGGGGGCAAGTTTAGAAGAGGAGTTGCAGGGTCTAGACCCAAGGCCCTCTTCTTTTCTTAGCCCCCTCCACTTTTTGACCCATTTGAGTCCCCATAACATAATCCCAATGACCTTAGGTAACTTAGAAGATCATAGTAAATAGTTAAATAGAACTTAATGTTATGTTTCTTTAGGAGAGAGAGGTAACCTATAAAAATTGTAGTAAAATATAATGCTCAATGTAATACTAAAGACCAAAGTAGAATAGAAATAAGCTATCATATTTAGAATAAAATACGAAACAAAACGAAACAAAATAAAATAAAAACAAACTGCACCAAACCAAATCAAATCAAAATCATAATACTAGAGGAAGGGAGAGAGAGAGAGAGAGAGAGGGGAGGGGCGCTAGTCAACTAGGAAGGTTGGACTTTGGGCTTGTTGTGATATGAGGTGACTCCATCCCCGCTCACCTTCCTCTCTTCCTTCTCCTCTCCCCTTCTCTCTCTCTCTTCTCTCTCTCTCTTCTCTCTTCCTGTAACCTCCTTTCCCTTCACTTCCACCCTTTTCCCCTCCCCTCCCCCTCACGCCACATCCACTTGTTCCCTTTGTTCTCCCTCCTCTCCAGCCTCATGTTCTCCCCCGTACACGGAGGAATTCGAGGTTCCCGATTCGACGCTTCGACCATGCGATTTTGATCTGTGAGCTACCCCCCCCCCCCCCTACCCCCCCAACCCCGGTCCAACCCCATCCACACCTATACAATAAATCCCACCCCCAAAAGAATAAAACACATACTCCCCCATTTGTCTTCTTTTACCTTCCTTGGATACAGAGCTAAACGCTCCGGTCGGCGCTACCGAAACTCTTTGTTCTCCGTTTCCCTTGTCCGATCTGGTTCTGCCTGGGATGCGCCTGTGTCATTTTTAGTGTAACGAGGCCTGTCTTCCCAGAAGTCAACCCCCCCTCCAAGGCGCGCCTATAGCAGATCTGCTAACCCCCCGACGCGGCCTTTGTGTATGTACAGATGAATCGACACCGCATGATTGAGAACTGCGTGTGTCTTTCACCATGTCGTAAGTCCCTCGTCTCTGTGATCTCTGCTCCGCAGGAGAGAGACCTGGGCTGGACTGCCACTGGGTCGCGTTCTGCGTTTCCTTCTGCTTCGTTTCTTTCTTGTTGTTGCTCATCGTCGTCTCTGGCTTGCTGCTCGACCCGTTGCTGACAACTGATCGCGTCGATCGGATAGCTCCCCTCCGACTTCCAAGCGGATTAAGACCTCGGCTACAACCAGCGCGCCGCCACATCTCCTCGCCCAACAACAACTTCACCCCTTCCACCACCGCGTACAGGGATTTGACGGCATCCCAATCCCTACCGCCCCGATTCCCCAACAACAGCAGCAACAGCAACCACAGCAACAACAAACAACATCGCGCAAACGTCCCCCCTCCCCATTCCCGGGTCATCCACCATGATGGCCGCGTCAATGAACCCGGCGGGGGCACGATGGAGGGTGATCCCGGCTCGATGCCTCCTCCAGTGGAATCAACACCTAAGAAGAAAGGCCGCACGAATACCCCATGGACCGCAGAGGAGGAGCAACGATTGAAAACGATGCGCGACGCGGGTCGCAGTTGGAGCGAGATCGCTAAGGTGCGCGCCTTTCGTCAATAACGCTATATTGCGCGAACTTCCTGGCTAACTTGCGTCGGATGACGCGTCACAGACTTTCCCTACGCGAACTGAGGGCAGTGTCAAGAAGCACTGGTACAAGGTGTGTACTGATAGTCCTTGGCTGTTGGTTTGATATTTACTAACGCCACGTGCCACAGGATATGCATTACGCTGAATTCGCTGAGGATGAGGTATCATTTTCTCCCTCCTCGCCTTTTGGCTATTATTTATTATTTATATATACCTTTTCTGCTGTTGAGTGAATAGCTAACTAAATTACCACAGTCTATAAAACTTCGCGAAGCAATCAAGGATTACGAAGCGAACAAATGGAAGGTGATCGGGCAGAAGGTTGGCAAGCCTGCTAAGGTGCGTTGCAATCCGGAAAAAAAAAAATCTATACTCGCTCTGATCAAGACTGACTCTTACTGATTATTAGGCTTGCGAACAATATGCCAAGGAGCACTTCAAGAACCTCTAGTATTAGAGGGTCCGATGACCGTTGATGAAGTGACGATTTGTTTCTCAGCATCTTTTACGAATTTGGCATTCTCCCGGATTCTGCAATTCCACAGCGATGCAAGGTTCATCAATGGCCACTGGAAGCCATTGATTTTACAAGGCAGATGGAGTTGGTGATCTGGTCTCTTTTTGGTGATTTTCACTTCTTGTTCTGATTGGGTTTTTTTTTTGTTGTGGTAAGCGTCTGATACGCGTATTTTTATGTTCAATTTTTGTGGACCTTTTTGGCGTTGTTTTCTGCGTTGGGTGCCAGTGACGCGGATTATTTTTTTGATGTCTCCATTCTCCATCTTCATTTCCTTGATCAATACTATATGTTTTCCAGTGCCAAGTAGCTCATGACAAGACAAAACTTGAAATCGATTGAGATGCCGATCCTGAGCCACGTCAAATGAGAGACACCAATGGGTTAAAGCCTTCGAGTTGTTTGAATACTTTTAGTATTATACTGGGAGAGTTTTTAAGGTGATATCCATGGCTTTCGACTAAACAAATGCCAGTGGATCACAATACAAACTTGTAATAGTTTCTGTCTCTAGTAAGCAGCCACCTAGTTGCCTAACAATTTGCCTAGTTACTAGCTGACATCCCTCTCCTTCCAAAGTTATACATACCCTACTATATATACGGTTTTTCCTGCGCTCATTCTTATAGTAGGCAAAGAGCTGTGTCCAAGCTTTGATACGAATACTAGTGATCTACGAGATGTCTATTCCCACCGCTCGGCACTTAAAAATAAAGCATCCTCGTTCGCTGGACCCGAGCGGAGACGGGAAACCGGCCGAGATCGCGGCCGATCTTTTTTTCCCCGCGGCGATTTCTTTCCCACCTCCGCCCACACTTTTTCCACTTTGCAATCCCCCACATTTGCAATTCTCCGCCTAGTGCGCGCAAGATTGCACCCGTGTTCCGCCTCATTATTCTATTTCCAGGTGAACCCATTGCCTATCTCGCTTCCCTATGCGCCTCGCCCTTCGCGCCACTCTGCTAACATCGCCTCTTTGCTTCATAGTGACTCATCTGGAAGGTGACATCGACCTCTTGTGAATGTCCGAGTACAGAACCCACCTCACCTCCTAAGGACGGCTATCATGAAGACGAGTAGCCAGGTTTTATTCAGTGATCAAGGTACATCCAGTGGTAAACCGCCTGCATGGAGAACCGGTGTTCGGCCGTGCAAAACTCGCTCCATGGGTGTTTTGCGCCGCCGTTCTGAGATTATACGGTCGAACTTGATCTGGATAATTCCAGCGAAAGAAACTCATGCGCGCTTCTGATTACCTGCTTCTGCCCTTCTTGGGATTGTCCCTACAAATACTGACAGTTCGCAGCATGGCCCCGGAAAATGAAATCGCCACCGTAGCGGCGCGGAACGAGAAAGCAGACTCGATTAAACAGACCGAAGAACCTGTTTCCTATGAACAGGATAAAAAAAATGACAGCACATATCCTCCCGAACAAACATCTCGCTACAACCCCATTAGCTCGCGCCTGGGCTCGTTGATTCGCATGTTTGAGCAGCAGCTCGTCGAATATAATTTTGAGGCGCGAGGCATTGAGCGTGTTGCGCCAGATGAGCGCATGAAGAAGCTTTCATGGGTGTCATACGCCCAGGCACTCTTGCTCTGGGTATCCATCAACCTTGCTGCCAACAATGTGACTCTGGGCATGTTAGGACCTGCCGTATATGGGCTTAGCTTCAAGGACTCTGCACTATGTGCCTTCTTTGGGTGCCTTGTTGGCGCACTTGTTGCCTCTTGGATGGCTACATGGGGCCCAATCTCTGGTATTCGTACCATGGTATGTCAAGTCGTTCCATCCACAGTAACCAGTTAGCTTATAAATGGGCAGGCATTTGGCAGATACTCGATGGGTTGGTGGCCCAGCAAGATTATCGTCTTGCTGAACCTTATTCAAATGATCGGATACTGTCTGATTGACTGTGTCGTCGGCGGCCAGATTCTTTCAGCGGTTTCGCCAGGTGGCATGTCCGTTGCTGTCGGTATGTAGAAAGTGAGAAGGAGATGTCCGTGGTGCCCACTGTCCTAACATTGCTGCAATAGGGATTGTCATCATTGCTATTATCAGCTGGGTTGTGGCTACATTTGGTATCCAAGTGTTCCACTACTATGAACGATTTGCATTCTTGCCTCAGTTAATCGTCATTTGCATTCTATTTGGTGTTTCATCCAGCAAATTCGACCTGTCTACTACTTCCCTTGGTGATGCACGTACGGTAGCCGGGAACAGGTAAATTTCCACGATTTCCAAAATTCATAAAAAGTACAACTGGCTCACCATCTACCAAGGCTATCCTTCTTTTCCATCTGTGTTAGCGCAGCAATCACCTACGCCCCCCTAGCAGCAGACTTCTTTGTCTATTACCCGGAACATACCTCCCGCACCTCAATCTTCTCTCTTACCCTCATTGGCCTGATATGTTCCTTCACCATGGCAATCATCTGCGGTATCGGTCTTGCCTCCGGCATCAATGCTTACCCCGAGTACGCAACCGCCTACAACAAGGGCCAAGGCGCCCTCATCGTCGAGGGTTTTGGTCCTCTCCATGGCTTCGGCAAGTTCTGTTCTGTCATCATCGCCCTCGGCCTTATCGCCAATACTGTCGCGCCAACATACTCCGCCGGCGTTGATTTCCAGATTCTCGGCCGCTACGCAGAGAAGGTCCCCCGCGTGATCTGGAATACCGTCGGTGTGATTATCTATACCGTTTGTGCGCTCGTCGGCCGCAGCTATCTCTCGGAGATCTTTACAAACTTCTTGGCCTTGATGGGCTACTGGGTTGCGATCTGGACTGCTATCATCCTTGAAGAGTTCCTGATCTTCCGGTTCCGAACGGGCTATAATTGGGCCGCCTGGCGAGACCCTTCCAAGCTTCCTATCGGAATCGCGAGCTTTATCGCTTTCGTCGTTGGATGGGTCGGTGCCGTCCTGTGTATGGCTCAAGTGTGGTATATTGGCCCTATTGCGAAGCTAGTGGGAGACTATGGCGCTGATGTAAGCTTTCAACCGGACCTAATATCCTTTCCCCGATCAAAATGTGATACTAACCTAGCCGATTCATAGATGGGCAACTATATTGGTTTCTCGTGGGCGGCGCTTGTTTACCCACCTCTCAGGTACTTGGAGCTGCATTTTGTGGGCCGGTAGAGAAATGGACCACCTCTCCCTGTGGTCGGACCCACTGTTCCAACCGTTTCGGGCCAATTTTCAATATGCCCGTCTTCTTTTTACTACATTCTGTATACTAATATACCGACTTTCTCACGTTTGCATTTTGAGGTCACATCATCGGTGCACATGACGAGGATATGCTTCAAGTTCGGTTATGTTCCCAAAAGTTATCAGTGTGCATTGCATCACATTGCATATGGTTGCATCAATACTTATTGTTTGTTTTATTCATACATCAAGTGCATATTTCCAATAATCCTCTCGAGATCACTCGAGATTTGATCTCCAAGATTTCCATTGTATGCTGCAGCACGAGGCAAGCTATCTTGCCAACCAGCCAAAAAGTAAATAAATGTCAAAATCAAGTATAAACGTAACCTCTTATGTCGTAAATGGTTAACCAATGACTCAAAATTCGAGTGAGAAGCGGGCCACATGCCCTGACATAATCTAAATAATGAAGACTAACTACGCCCTTGGGAACAACATCATCCAAGTTGCAATCGGCCAGGAAATAATGAGAAAATATTAACTCAAAAATACACCCCAATAGGCACTCTCATTTTCATCCACTTGAGAACTATTCTACAAAAGAGACGGGAAACAGGCCAAGTATAGAACTGATACAGGGACAGACAGACAGACAGACAACTTCGCACGATTACTCTGTATCAAGAGGTTTTGCGCGACGCGGATTTACCGGTACCAGTACTCGGGCTTGACGTAGTCGGCGAAGGTCTTGGGCTCCTCGTGGGGAGGGTGGTGGTGACCGTGGTCGTGCTCGTCTATGAGGGGTCAGTATGCTGTGCTCACGGTGTCGGGAGGAAATAAGAGGGGTGGGGGTGGTTTAAAAAGGGACATACGAGCGTGGGGGTCCTCCTCAGGTCCAATGTAGTTCAGCTTAACGACGTTGCCGCACTCGGTGCAGCGCTCAATGGGGCGCTCGCGGGAGACCTAGAAGCAAGCAGGGTTAGCGTTGTTGCGGATGGCTTACGGATTCTCGGATTCATCATACGGTCAGCCAGTTAACCTGGTGGGAGTCGACGGGGTAGCCAGTGCAACCGGCGTATTGCTCATCACCGGCACCGTTGACTATGATGGGGTTGTCGATCGTTCCTGTGGTCGAGAAAAGTTCATCGATCAGCCGTTGACTCACGCCAAAATGAGAAAGATAGCATGGGGCGATTTGTAGTCCATCTGGTAGGAAAATCGTATATTGAAGCTCAACATACCCTTGCGGGAGGCGTCCAGGGGACGCATGTCAAAGATATCGATGCCCTGCATCTTTCCGATGAGCTCCAGACGCTCGAGACCGGTGGCCTGGCTGAAGTCGGTAGGGATGGTACCGGCCTTGGCACCGGGGGGAATCAGGTCATCCTCAGACTTGATCTCTGTGGGCAGAATGGAGATACGTTAGCTGCTTTAGACCACGTTGTGATGACTGCCGTGGGCAACTTGTGTGCCCTCTTTTGGAGGTGAAGTTCACAACCAATGGTCCCGACATTAAACGCCACTTATTGGCATCAAACAAGGGCCAACGAGACATTGCAGTGTTCCATCTCCAAAATAAAGAGCACAGTCGAGCAATTGACCGCGGTAGGGCGAGAAGGGTACTGACCATCGAATTGGCGGATCGGGGTCTCGTCCTTAGGGGTCCACTTGTTCGCGTTGCCTGTTCAAACAACATTCGCGTTAGCTGGCGATAATGTATATGGAACCTAAGCGGCCTCCAAAAAACAGTGTCCTCGGAGTCAATTGAGCTCTGGGGGAGGGTGTGCAGGGCCGAGGTCGGGAGGATGTCGGATCATGCCACCTGGGGGGGGGGATCACGTACTGCGCACGATGGACGAGGAGAATGGGCGAGCGACAGCAAAGGCACGAGCGGGAGTGCGCCGCGCGAGGGCGGAGGCAGTGCGTTGAAGGAACATTGCTCCGGGGAGAATGGTGGAATGGGGGGGGAGTAGAGATGAGGTTGGGTAGAGTCTGGTTCGAGGATTGAAGTTGGAAGATGCCGCTTCCGCCCGAGTGCCTTATGATTGGCTGAAGCTGCTACCAATAAACGACGCGGATTGCGGATGACTCAGCGATGATTGGCCGTCACGGGAAGTTCCAGATTAGGGAATTAGGGCTAGGGCCGGTAGGTAAACAATGGGGTACTATAACTATATCTACTATGGTTTGTACATACTTGATGAACTATCAACATGAGAAACCGCCATGGTACCAATGATCTTGATCCTGCTCCAAATAAACCTAAGAAATCCGAATACTCCGATGTCCTACAGTCATACATCATCTACAACCCACGAGAAGGGCTTCGTCCCAACATGGCGGCCCGTTCCCGACACGCCTCAGGACCGAATCCTTTGCCAACTTTGCTGGAGATAATCCTCCATCGGTCCTGTTCATACTGGGATATTGCACGCTGAAGGCGTTGTACCTGGATGCTGCTCAGTACATCTTATTCGATGGATTGGAAAGGGTTGCGGTCATCGGGTGGAGTAAAACACTGACCTTCTCATCCGTCCAGCTTACATCCTTCGTTTTTAATCTTTGGCAGTAGCGAACCTGCAAAGTATTGTGCGTTCGACCCGGAAAGAAGTCTTGGATTTGTAGCCAGGTCAAGTTCTTGTCCTCCTTGAGATGCACGAGTAACGCATCCTCCGCTGCGGTAAATCTTGTCTTGGGAGCTTTGGGGCGAGGTGCAGGTGCAGGCATTCCCATATGTCCCACTACATTCGGTGGCCTTGTTTGTCTAGCAATATCATCATCCATATTGTCGGAATCCGTTGACTGTGGGAGCGTGTGATGATGCTTCTCTGGCAGAGAAATCTTCAAGAGGGTGTTGTGGGACATCGCTGGGTCATATATCGAGCTAGGAGGCTGGTGCAACGAAGGATCAAGTAGAATACCAGGTTCCGCAACCGAAGAGTTGTTATTAATGAGGAGAGACGCCAAAGCCGGAAAATGCGGTGGGATGTGCCCATCATTTCGACTGCTTCTTGGTCGAAATTGGCCCCTGGGGCTGTTAAGTGGACCCGATAAATCGTAGCCGTACGTCGGGGGTTGAGGCAGCTGTTGCGACGATGAAGGCGAATATATCGAATGGGGCAAAGGGTCATCTCGGTTTTGAGGTATGGGATGAGGCAGTATCGAATCCGTCGTTGGCGGTGGTCCATTAAACAGAGAGGGGATATTGTCGGTTCCATACACAGCTCCGCTCAGCTTGTCACGCAGCTCCGACTCGGATGAATCATATGCAATCAAGCCATGATCATCATTCTTAGCCGGTGAGGGAAAGTTGATGGCATGGCTGCGGTAAGAGTCCGCCAGTGTCACGGACATGCATCAAAGTTGCCAGGAAATCCCAGCCGATGAATATGCTTGTCAAGTAGGGGACTGTCCGAACCCAACACTTTTCCTCTGCAGAGAAACAGGGACTCTTTAAGGCCCCGTTACGTGTCACATAAAGAAGCACGATGCAGAAAGATCCTTGCGATGGCAAAAACAAACCGTGCCAATCGCTGCAACCTGTCTCGAAATGCTTCACGTGCCGAGCGACGAGGGCAAACTTGAAAGACTTCCAATATCAGAGAGGAGCAAGCAGTCGGAGCCCAATAAGTAGCATTCGCATAATGTGTGATAAGTAGGGGGCGGTTTGAGTGTCATCCGGGAAAAGAAAAATATAAATGCGACAGCGGACACGGCCGTCTCTATAAGCCTCTTCACCGGATACGCATATAGGTCCAGTTGGATTGCAGGCTGCCCGGGCAAGAAACCTATGCCGAACCTCCTCATCAGCTGAATCATGCGTCTTTCAGGGATTGGCTTCTCTGGATTTATTGGGGAGAGAATTAAAAGAATTGTCCCCGGAGCGCAGCCCCCCTCAGGGGGTATTGACCCAAAGCGCGCAGTTTTCGTTTCGTTTTGCGTCTTCTACCAATGGCTTTTATATTCCTTTTAACCAAGATTTCAATGTCCTTAAAGCTATTATGCTATATGACAGGATTCATTATACAACATATTTTATTGTCTCTCTCTAAAACGACGAGGTAAATCATGGTCGAGGAGCTTTCCAGGATGGGGACGAGGGGCGCATCAGAAGCGAGAAAGCGAGAATCGGAATAACGCGCCCGACAAGAGCCCGTCAACGCACGTAAGATTTGGCATCGGGGACGAGTGGAGTGTCCACGACAGGGATTTTATTCGCTGGGTGCAGACTCCTGCAAGCTTTCATTGCTGGAGAGGAGATGAAACTCCTGTTTGGCCAATCAACCCCCGTCATGGTAAGCCAAAGAGGCAACTAAACCAGCGATTCGTCGAGGAGCTGAGGGGTGATTTAGGCACTTTCGGTGCCAAGGCTATGCGAAGGGTCAATCACAGAGATCCCAGATGTCCCGAGAGTGACCAACAGAGTTATTAAAATCACTGGATCCTTATACGGTTCAGATTGTCACATACATACGTATATACATAGGCTTGACCAGCTTTGCGGCCAAAGAGGTTAAGGAGGCAAACTGAACCATACCAATGCTTTTCTGCATTGCATAATTTTGGATTGCCAATGCCTGGCTGTTATTTAGGTCTTTTTTTCTTTCTTCTTCGTCTCTTTTTCGAGATTGCATTCTGGAAACCTGGGTGTCATTAATATCAGATACAGGAAGTCCTACGACCTCCCAGGCCATCCTACTGTTATTCCGAGACCGGTCAGATGGTTAAAAGGACAGGAGGATCATTGCAAGTGCCGGAAAGCATTAGCTGCAGAAGGGGCTGTTTTCTGGCACACCGGGGCCCATTGCAACCCCACCTGAACAAACAAGTCCTCGAGATTTACCATAGTCGTTTGGGAACAAGTGGCAAGGACACTGTTGTCATTTTTCTTTGCACCTTACCCCCCCTGGTATGCGGGATGTCGCCTTCTTTTCTCGTCGAGCAGCACTGGCTCTCGGAGGAACGTGTCTTTCCTAGAGAGGTATAAGATGTCGGGTTCGGGCCTCTGGCCGAAATGGTGGCGCAAGGCCGGTGACCTCCACCCGTCCCCTGAAGCCACAAGCACACAATCACCGTCATGCGATTCTTGGAGGCGATGGAACCTTCTTTCTTTGTCACTTTCGAAGCGATGGAAATGGCAAGAGCCGCGTGGCTTCGTGGCTGGGGTTCGATCTGTGCATTACAAAGCTGACTGCATACTCGTATACCGCGGTCAATCAGGCGACAATAGGGCGTAGAAAAAATCATTTCACAACTTGGTAGAGGACTTCTGCTTTATAGATTTATGGTAATGTGACTCGACGTGTCCAAGGATCACTGAAGCAACTTCAAGTTGGATGAGCTAACATGGGAGACAGACCAGTACTAGTACTACTACTCGTATGGTTAAGTATACGTAATTAGTAGTGAGCATAAGATGTTTCAATCGGCGACGATCACATTCTACAAAAAGAAAATACCGAACATAATGTTGAAATGGCTAGATCCATGATAAATGCGTATTGCTTTTTTCTCGCTTTCAATAGATGAGATTATGATTGTCATGATACAAGAACACAAAAAAATAAAGAGAAAAAAAAGGTACATGATAAGAATACATTCGCCCAAATAAATCAACCAAGTGGATGTAAAAACGCCCATCAAATACAACTCTACTCAAAGTTATCCGAGCGATCGACCCAGATATCTTCCAGTTCGGCGAAGTTCTGGAAGTGCAGAGGACGATGCTGGTCATCGTAGAAGCGAAGGGGGGTATCGATCTTCACATAGATGGGTCTCTTCTCAACACTGCCGAAGGAGCTACCCATGAAACTATAGTTCCAGAGGTTATCTTCGGGAACAAGGAAATAACCGCGAACGCGATCGCTGAGAAGCAGCTGACACTTTTGACCCATGCTAGTGGAGAAGCCCTGAGGCTGATCTGAGCTCATATCCTTGTTCTCAGCACCCCACTTGTATCCGTCGGGAGTCAGGCCCCAGGCAGAAAGTGATACGGAACCAGGAGTGAAGGAGACGGTCATAGTCACTGTCTTCTTGTCCCACGAGGAATGCGAGTTCATTAGGCGGGCGTGCTGTGTGACATCCGCTGCAGACATGTAGGGTGGCTCGTTGCCTGAAACGGTGTGGATGACGCCCAGCGGCTCAAGGCCGTTGAGGTAGTCATGTTGAGGGAGTTGGTGGGGGAGCTGGACATCCCGAGTATTTCCAACTTGAGGGACCATGACGATTGTGCGAACCTCCTTAACTTGATCGTTATCGGGGGGCGAGCTACCGTAAATGAAACCAGTAACTTGGACGCGGAGATCAGCGATCGTGATGAACCGCTTGAGGATGTTCTTTGGCATAATGTAAGTGAATCCATCATCGCGAATGTCGTCAGACGACACGTAAATGTTGTTCGATCTGGTCCGCAGGTTGGACGTCGCGATAGCACGAGTGCGCCACTCGGTCTTTGATGCGAATGACTGTTGCTCGTACTGCGAAGTCGTCGTGACAATCATGTCCTCTCCTCGCACATTTTGAGTCTTGGTAGTAACAGCAGTAAGTTGCTTCGCTTCCTCCTGTTGCTTTTCAATCTCGGCAGCCTGCTGTCGCTGCAGCGAGGGCGCGCTGATTTCCATACCCAGAATGATATCTCGAACTTCACTGCCGGTCAAACTTTGCACGTTGACATTGTTCTTCTTGCCGTAATCGTTCAGGATCAAATCACGTAGTTGCACTTCGACCTTGATCCAATCCTCGTCGGATAACGAAGGCCAGATGTGATGCTCCTGGGTGATCACGCTCTTGTCGGGGCGAAGAATGATCTTTGCCTTGTCGATATTTACATGCAGGGCACGGAGAATGAGAATCAGACGAGAGAAGGCGGTGTATGGCGAAATGGATTTCAACCACTCATCATACAGGTTGAAGAGAACCATTTGAGGCTCGGTAGCACGAAGGATCATATCCGCCAGCTTCTCAACCTTCATGGCAGCTTGGAATGGCAGTTGAAGCTCAGACGCGCGGATGGAGATATTGGGGAAGTCGAGCAAATGGACCTCGAGAGGATCCAAAAGACCCTTTCGAGTAACAATCAGCTGCTTCGGCTGTTCTTCAACAGGTAAAGACCGAATGAGGGCAGCGACTTCTTCGGCCGTCTTCCACTTAGCCAATTGACCCAGACGCTTCTGTCCTGCCCAGACACTGGTGTGGATGATCTTCAAGAACAGCTGGCCGGTTCGAGGATTGAAGATGAAAATGGCACCGTTGATGGGCTTCGTGGTCAAGTTACCCTCGAAGGTCTTGTGAATTGTCACACGGTAAACGTTGGTGTCATCAATGAACAGTTGAATCTGAGGGCTGAAAAGCTCGGAGTAGTTCTGAGAGTTCAAAAACTCCTGGTTGCTCTCCGAGGCGTACAGCTGCAGACCCTTGCGAATACGTTCACGCAGAACATACAAGGCAGGGTTGGCCTTCATGATCTTAGCCATGGCCTGCTGGGCAAGAGTCTTCAGGCCGGGGGAAGTACTGGCCATAGGCCGAGTACAAGTTGTAGGAAAGATCAATGCCGATCATCAACCCGGTGGCCGAGGGATAGATACTCATACTGTCGGTGGTGTAGTCAAGATACTTGGCACGAACATATCGCTCAATGTCATGAGAGTCGTAGTCACCATATCTCAGCTGCACATCAATCCAGAACTTGTTAGTGGTCGTGGGCTCGTATACATCCTTGGTATCGAACAGCAAGGAAGGTCGAGTGACATTCCACTTGTTGGTGGCAAAAAGAAGGATATCCGCACAAGAACTGTTCATCTTGTACGATTTACGTGGGTGAATCGTTTCCTTCTGAACAGCCTCGATGCCAAGTTGCTCGAGTTCTTGGTCGAACACTTGGCACAAGTCCATAACCACAGATTCGTGGATCTTCTGCCACAAATGAGCACGGAAGATCTGAATAAGGGAAATTTTCAGAGTGGGAATTTTGCCGTGCAAGAAAATACCAGTCAAATCGAGTTGCACTTGGAAACCAACATAGACATTGGCTCGGTTAATGGTTGGTGACCACCAGAGGGTGAACCGGCGGTTGGGGATTTGGTTAAGACCGGAACGCTGGGCGTTCGTGAGCTTCTTGAACTTCATGCTTTCCTATAATTTTTCAAAGTCAGTGATCGTTTGCGAGGGAAAGGGCCAAAGGGCGATGATAACGAACCTCGAAACCACTAGCTTTCTCCCAGAACAGACCCTCCCAAGAGGGGAAGGCAGTGGCCTTGAACAAGGTGTGCTCCAGGATGGTTTCCACACCACCCAATGCTTGGATAACATCCGTTCGGTAAGCATTTAGATTCCACAATTTACCATCATGGCGCTGGCTAGTCCACCAGAACGGATTGCTCTTCATCAACTGGTACTGTTTGAACTCAGCACGAAGACGGAAACCCTTGTCAAAACTGAGTGTGCTTCGGTCCTTTTGGAAGAGAGTATTGATACGCGGAAGACCGCGATCCCAGCTGTCCTCAAGATCCTCAAGGGTCAAACGACGGTTCTGTTGCTGAGCTTCCATGCGCTTCTGGGAATATTCCATCCAGACTCTTTGAGAATCAATAAACTCAGACTCCCAGGAACAATGTATCGGAAGATGTTCGGGATCAGAGTTTCCTCATCATGGGACATACCGGCCCGGAAGTGGGTGATTCCGGTATCGGTCTGTTTGGACCAACGCTTATCACTGGTAGGAATGAGAATATGGGATCCCGAAATCATACCAAGACCTCCAAGCTCCTTGGGGGTGTAGAACACAGCGGGAGGGAAACGAGAAGGCATCTTAGAATTCAACCCGATCTTGACACGAGTCTGAATCTTCGTCTCACATTTGACGATGGTGTCGAGCAAATTCACAGTAGACACCGCCGCCTCGCGGTAGTATGTGAAGAGAGCAATGAGCGCCGTGTTCCACTTGTTGGCGATCTTGGTGAAAGTAGTAGATCCTGAAGACATGAGAATTTGGCGGATGCGGTTGTTGAACTTTTGGATATCTTCCTCTGTAACCTGAAGGAAGGCATGGGCAGTGCGCTCTTTGGTAGAGTTATCGACCAAAGACCACACGCTGTCCTTGACATTGAACTCTTCATTCTGGTTGCGGCACTTGGGGAGAATGCGGACCTCGAAGCCGTTCATAGAGAACAACAGGTTGGGGTTGTCCTTGCTGTACACGCTGGCAAATGTGTCATCCCAGTCAATAGTCGTGATGGAACGGGGAAGACGATTCTTCAAATCCCAGAAAACAGCACGGCCTAGATTGACATCGTGACGCATCAAACGCATACGGCAATCGCGAGGCCAGCACTTCTTATTCTTGTAACCAATGACATTCTCGAAGTTAGGATCGGGGTTCTCGGTCAAGAATCGCTGAATCAGATCGCGAGACTCGTCGGCATCGAATCGGAAGAAAACCCAAATCTTGTCGACATAACGGGTGTAAAGTCGGATAGGGTGTCGGGTCTCAGTAGCCCGGTCCCGGAACTGCAAGAAGTCGTTGGGGCTCTGGGGCGGGCCAGCCATCTCGCTAGCGCGCTGCAGACCAAGAAGCAGAAGATCGATCATCAATCCGTAGAACTGGAACACGAAACCAGAGAACTGAAGACCACGAATCATACCGTAGCTGTTGGTGTGATTCATGTCCTTGTAGCTAAGCTGGACATTGTTCTTGGAGGTAATGTAGTCAGCCAAATTGTGGTCCATGATCAGACGAAGCATTCGATTTAGCAGGGTCAGATCGATCTTCTCGTAGACCTTGGACAGCTCAGTTTCAATCATGACATTGGTTTCGCCCTCGGCGGTCTCCCAGACATTGGAAAGGTTGTTAATTCCCTGAGTCCACTTGTAGGTCAACAGCGGCGGTACTTCTGAATCGGAGGGTTTGATCCAAGCAGGAAACAGGTGGCGCTGTTCAGCCTGGTACCATAAATACTGGTCCAGGTAAGCATCCGTGATCTTCTCAATGGGCTCGATGTCGTAGACAGGATTGATGTTGTTGTAATTATCATTCATGTCGATTCCAACCTCCTTGAAAGCTCGTTGGGTCAAGAGGAATCGCTTGATGCGGGCCAGAGTGGTTCCGGGAGAATCATATGCCTGCTCAATAAGAGCAAGCTCTTCACGCTGGCTCTGGTTCAGTCTGCCTTTGACGGAATAAGATTCACGAAGTCGCTCCAGAGCAAGAATCAGAATCTTTGTGTCGTGCTTATATGAGACACTGGGGAATGGAATGGGCGAGAACTTGCGTGACTCCAACCAGTGGACCATGGTGGTGTAGATAGCCACGGCCTCCTCAGAGGACACATAAGGGCCATCCTTGAGGTAGTTGTGCTGGCGCTCTTGTTCCGACTTGAGCCAAAGACGAGTAAGTCGGCCCAGGTTCTTCTTAGCGACGGTTTTATCAACAGTAGCACCACGGCGAATTCTCTCTCGGTTGTAGTGAGCGACAGAAATCCACCAGTCAGCCTTGCTCTTCACATAACGAAGAATAATGTTCTCGATAGGTGCAGGCAGGCCAGGAACCTTCCAGGGAATGTTACTCTTCCAGCATCTCCAGGCCTCTGACAAGTGTTGCAGGACAACATTGACCTTGTTCTGCTTGATACCCTCGGGCATCATGTCCATCAGATCCGCCATGACGGAGGCACGAAGTTCCAGGTCGAAGTGAGATTCCACACGCTGTTTAGTAACGGTCTTCGCAACACCCTTGCTGTGACGGCCCTCGAACTGACGAGATAGCAAGTTTCCAAGCCATCTCTCAAGCAAAGGAATGATACCACGCATGAAGAACAGCCAGACACGCCACGCGGGGGCCCAGAATCCACAGCCAGGTCCTTTGCCGACAGGACCGGAGTTGAAACGGTAGTAAATCAGGTGCTTGAGATCCTTGCAGGAGCGGATCTGGTGCATCAACTTGTACTTGTATCGGTACATACCGGTCAGCTGGCCAACATGGTTGAAAGCATACAAGATACCGTCGGCCAACTGGAAGGCGTCAATGTTGCCGAGACGGTACTGCACCTGAGCGTCGACGATCAACTTCGTGAGGCGGAGAATTTCTCTCATGAGGTGGAAAGCATTTCCGAAACGAGACTTCTTTCGCTCTTTGGTGGTCAAAGTCTTGACGGGCTTCAGGTTGAAGTTGTAATCGAGATGCAGGTAAGTCAAGTTCTTGCGGTGAATAAGCAAGTTCAACATATTGAAACCTTGGCGGCAAACTTGCAAGCCAGCCTCTACCCAGTCAATTGTTGTTTGCTGGAAGAATTTGGTCGTCTTCAAGGTCTTCAACAAACTCTGTTTGTTCTGGGCTTTCGGCTTGTTCTTGTGCAGCTCGTTGAGAACAAAAGTCTTGAGCAGCTTTTGGTACGACACGCGGACCTTGACCGGCTGGCCCTGAGGGCAGTGCTCCAGGTACCATTGCTTCACCAGTGGCACATCCTGAGCGCGAACCATCTTACCGGACCGCTTGTCGAAGGGGTGGGGAGCCCACCAAAGGGCGATCGCAGAGGCAGTCTCTGTGGTGTAAAGTTCCTCATCCTCGAAGAATGGCTCAACCTCTCCAGGAAGTTCAAAGTCATCTTCATTGTCGGTACCAAATATCTCATCTTCGTGGCTGACGGTGATGTTCTTCGGCGCAACAGAACGAGAGGAGATCGGGTTGATGACAGGATCGAAGTAGAAGGCGGGGAGGTTCGGGTCTTCAGTGCGAACGTAAACCACCTGGGGGTGAGAGTACCAGGCAAGCTTCACGCTTCGGGGAAGAGTATTATACAGGAAGGGGAAGGTAACGCGGTATTCGGTTCGGATGGGGGCGCGGAAGATGATGCGGTCGATAGCGTTGAATTCGCTGAAATCCTCGTCATTCGGGTCGATGTCTTTGTACAAGGGCTCGAAGCGAGGGCCACCTGGGATAGCAACGTTGAGGGCCTTGGCGGTAAAGAAACTGTTAAGGTCGAACATGTGGAAGTAATTTTCATCAACCACATCGCTCAACAGTTGGTGACTCAGTCGATGAAGAGTCGCCATTTGCGGGAGTGATAGGTTCCAGGTCTTATAGCTCGGTCCGTTGACGTGGGGCGTATCTAGAAGGGGTCGGTGATCGTAGAACCATTCGTAGACTGCCGCATCCTCCTCTTCGTCGAGCTCCATCTGGATGGGCTCCAGCGGTTCGACGTCCTCAATGTTTTCAGACCACGAAAGTGGAGGTTCTTCATCATCGAAGGGGGGGAATCGCATGCGCTTAAAGTGTCTGCGGTCACTCTTCTCTCGGCGCATGGACATCCACATTGTGGCCCATTGGGCGTGGAAGACTGGCTCGATAACGCGGGGGGTCTCATTGACCATGGTCAAGCATCCATTAACGTGGTATAAGACCTTAACTTCTCTAGCTGATTCCCAAGGCATTGGCATGTTTTCAAGGAGCTTGAGAACTGCATGGGGCATGAACTTCAGCGCGCCGAGATAGCTTCGTTTTTCGTTGGTGAATTTTCGCTGCGAAACATCGCCAATATCCTTCACAATTTTTCGTAAATGTTCGGGTGGCATGTCCGCTTTCTGTGTCTCGACAAATCCTCCCTTCCGCTTCTCGCCGAAGCGATTGCGCTGGGTGCGCAGCCATTCATTCTTCTTCTGTGCAAATTTTGCGACGTTTGGGTCGGCGGGCGGCTGGTAGCCCGGGGGCGGCGGCGCCATCGGCATGGATGGGGGAGCAGCACCCCATCCTGGGGAGGGGGGGGGGAGGCAGAGATGCCATAATGGTGGTCGTTGATGGGGAGAAAGCCCACCCTCGGCGATGGTTGGTCTCAAAGTCGCGTCAAATCACGTCGAAAATCATCGACATGGGACACAAAAGTAGATGGTGTGGCAGCAGCCGGCCGGCTCAAGTGTATTGAGATAGCTATTAAGGCCGATTGACGATGGAAATGAACGCCAACAGCCGGTGCTCCTCTGCTAGACGCAAAGTTGCTCCTTTCGCCAGAACTGGCGAAGTTTGAGGTGGGTCTCGGTCATGTGACCTGTACCCGCTCCGGTTCCTAATGGGGGTTAGCGCCCGATTTAACGAGAACACGCTAGAAACCCACAAACCCGGCCAACCTCGAACATTTCCTTCTCGCAACCCGACCGACGACGCCGCTCTTGACCATCGCAGAGGATCAAGCACGACAAAATGGCGAACAACAGACTGACATTCGTGAGTTTCATTCGTTTTATCGCTTTTGTATTTGAAAAAGTTCTGACCCGATTTCTCTCCAGCGCCGCCGGAACCCGTACGTTTGAAAAAAATTCCCTGCCACCCACAATGCCTCCTCTACGCTCCAGTCGATATTGCGAACAACTAGGAACGGCTGCCAGTGATTTTGGAACGATATATTGACGGTTATTTTTTTTTTCCTTCGACAGGTACAACACGCGGTCCAACAAGGTTCGCATCATCAAGACCCCTGGTGGTGAGCTCCGTTACCTTCACCTGAAGAAGAAGGGCACTGCTCCCAAGTGCGGTGACTGCGGCATCAAGCTCCCCGGTGTGAGTATCCCTCGATTGATTTTTTTTTCCCGGCAATGTGTGGTGTAGTGTGTGTGCGCGGGACGGCAACCGTGGGGGAACCGAGTGAAGGGCATTGAAAAAAATCCTCATCTGGATTACATCGGCTCAAACTCGTGAACCACCGGCAATCGAAACCAACATTCACACGACGCTCGCATTCCCTTCATCTTTGTTCCCATCAATTCGGGTAACTTACAATTTTCGTCGCATAGGTCCCCGCCCTCCGCCCCGCGAGTATGCTCAGATCTCCCGCCCCAAGAAGAACGTCAGCCGTGCCTACGGTGGCTCGCGCTGCGCTGGCTGCGTCAAGGACCGCATTGTCCGTGCTTTCCTGATCGAGGAGCAGAAGATCGTCAAGAAGGTCCTCAAGGAGTCCCAGGAGAAGGCTGGCAAGCGCTAAACAAAGCCTTGTCCTTCGTCGGTGTTGTCTTTTGGAGAGCGAACGTTACGGAAAAGTGATGGGAACGGTTTCCTTTTAGAATCTAAAAATGATGAACAGGAACCGCTAGCATGAACTCATGATCTGGGTCATGACTAGACAAATGAAACCCAATTTATTCTATCTTCACGAGATTTTTCTACGAATTGTGTTTGAATTGTTCTGGATTTTTGATGGCTTCGCCTTTTATCGGGGCGCATTGTTTCTCCTCGCACGAGTCGCATTTCATCTTGCTTTCAAGTTGTCCTCGTGGTTTGATAACCTTCGAAACGCATCGAGGCTAGCTCGAGATCTCATCATACTCGTAGCCACCCACATTGCTCAAATTACCAGATAATTGCATCAGCGGTAGTTCGACCTCAATGGCTAGTCTATGCGGACAGCCTGACCATCCACCGCCACATTTGTCCTTGCGAATCTACATCTACAAACTCCTTTGGCTCCACATGGAGGGAATCAAAAAAAGTCAGCAGCTACACCTCGCTCACCGTAATTCAAGGTAGAATCCTCACTCATGACGGAGTGTCTCAGACCCGGGTCTCGTCTCCAGTGACTTTAGCAGATCAATAGCCAAGAACTTCAATGTGCAATGAAACTCAAAAGTTTCCCCTTTCGACGTGGGCTAGACTTATCCTTGTCTCAAGAGCTGGCTGGTTCTCAGCCAACACAGCAACATGAGCAATTTCGTCGCCAGGCGGCCCTGCATACCTAGGTATTCACTCGCAAAATCCGGGTGAAGCAGTTGGATAACGCTAGGTAGAAAATCAACCATAGTACCTAGGTAGGTATGAATGTACTATATTGCACTGTGCTATTATCCGGGGATGTATTATCTTCAACCCGGTGGCTGGAGAGGGGTTCCGAGACCCTCCCACCTGGGCAGTATGTTCGAATCACGGCTGGGCCATGCAGGCATTGGGGGTTATATATGTAGTGCGCGCGAATAGGGGGTAATACGGGAGCTGAAGGCTCGTTGTTGCCCCTGACACCGCTTCTTTCCCAGGTTTCTGGGTCTTGATCTCCGAGATGGCTATCGTAGACCCGGAAAATATTTGTCACAGGCCACCGGCACATGCTAGTGGCTTGAGATGCTGTCATAAACATGGGTATATTCAGATTGCATTGGACTTTCCACGGCATTCAAGTTGCAGCCCCGGTGGTCGAGCTGTATTTCAAGGTTCTAGAAAGAATGCCATCAGGCGCGAAAGTAGTTCCAAGGTTGGCTCGAGCCTTTTGCCGGTCTGGCTATGAATCGCTTCGCGGGCCCTGGGGGTGGCCGCAGGCGTCTGCCAGGGGGGGGGGGAATCGACAGAAACCAGGAGTTAGACCGACAGGATCTGAATATCTCAGAAGATGCCTGCCGGCGCCAGTCTCGTATCTATTTCCATCAGAGGTACTTTTGGTCAGGTATCTAATATGTACCCCGGGTGGATAGTATTACTAGTCGTCCCCAATACAGAGTAGACCTCGGGAGCACCCAGATGGTATATTTCCAAGGCTTGCGGAAGTCCCCTCGTAGGCTAACTACTACCCATCTGGATAGGGTCGGATTTATTCACCGGGGCAGATATAAACTCTAGAATGCCCCGGGCCTAGATAGAGTTTCCTAACTGCATAAAACCAAGTAATATTACCCAAAGTTTCAATTTGCATTCAAGTTCTGACAGTAGTACTTGTTACTATAACCCCTTCGGGAACACGAGTCTCCCCTGTTCCTGTAAGAGTACGGAGTACTCCCTACTAGTACATTGTTTCTAACCCAAGACCACGCCTGACACCCGTCAGAGCCGAATATGTAGCCTGCCGAAAGTCTACACACGATGGATGTATATACCAGGGGCGAAAATGAAAATAAGAAATGAGAAAAAAAAGACAAATAAAAAGGAGAGAATAACAAAAACCCCCCGTAGACCAAATAACTTTGAATACTTGTACCTAGGTATTGAAGGGGGTGCCAAGCCCACGTTCCAACACCTCACAATGCATAATACAACCTTGACAGGAGAGTTCGCCTCGGGGCCTCTTATTTGAAGCCAAATTTTACCACATCACTGGCTCGAAGGAAGAAAGTGCATTGTCCATGTATGTATCCACAGCAAACTGGAAACAAAAGCCTTCTAGCCATTGTCCTTTCGGTCCCTAATTTCTACCTTATTGCCAAGTCGTCATATCGAGGACCTAGGGATCGTTGGACACGGGAACCATAAGACATTCATTAGCCTAGCTGTAAGTACAGACTGGCAATTGCCCGCTGCATACATATGCATGCCTACATATGTACATACATAATAGCGAGTACGTGGCAGCCGATGAACCCTCGCTAAGCTGCATCGGCCGGCATAGCAACTTGAGGTCTGTCGATCTTCCAAGCGGAGTTTGTCGGTCTAAATCAACAGAGGGTCTCTTTTCGCCCCAATTGTTTCCTGAATTTTATTTGCTTTTTCTTTTTTTGCCCCTCCATCACCCACTCATTCATTTCGAGTTCATGCCTACATATATGTGTGTACGGCGGGATGGCACGGACCTAACAATTAAGACTTTCACAACAGAACCAAGCCGCTGGGAGGAACGGTCAGACCTGAGCTTTTGCTCTCTATCCTGTTATGGACCGCTCCACCACTGGCCTTGGTGCCTATTTAGCATCTAATTTAGACATCCGAAAAGTATGCGCCTGTCAGCTGTTGAAACGGCTCGTTTCAACCTACAGGCGCCCGGCAGAGAGTGTATTGTACTGCCAGCTTGCACAGAGATCTTTAGGGTAGATAGACATGATGAACTTGTACAATGATGCACAAAAGGTGGAGGTGGCCTTTTGATGACGCTGCCGACTTCATAGCCAACATTGCTATTCGCCTCAATATTCCCGATAAGAATTCGTTGACAGCGAATTTGCCCCGAATAGGGTAGCCCCGAATAAGTATCTCGACGGGATCGGCTAAAATGCATCGACACATCAACTTGGACAGGAACTTGAACGAGATTTTCCTTTATGTTTACCTTGATGGATCGAAAATTTAGGAACCCAAAACAAATAAAGGTTCGTTGCTTTCTTTTTCTCCTGGGACCCGGCAGTTGATATATCAGAAAACGGCCAGTGATCCGATTACAGAACGTGCACGGTGCGGGCCGCAAAACTATCGATGGTGGGCTGTCATGGCCCTTGCAGATCACTAGGCTCCCAAGCTAAAACACCCATGGAAAGCACACAAGAAAATGGAGACAATTTCAATTCCAAAAGATATATAAGTGACGAAAGAAATACTTAAGAGAAAAGTCAACAATGGGGAACATAGTAGAAAAAAATTAGAAATAATTTCTTTGGCCAATTCGAGCAGGGAGAAAAACGATCATGGGACGGCAGTCTAGTAACTGACCAGCCGATCATTCTTGGTGCAGCACCCGGGCAGTCCCCCCAAAATAGGGTATGTATGGAGATGGGCTTGCGATCTGTCAAAACCTCGGCCAGTGATCTCACTGGATCCCGCATGACATCGGTTTAACCGCCCCACGTCCTGTTATGTACGAGACAGATTCACACAAGAGATCCGAAGAACAGGCTAATACCGTTACTAGCTGTATCCCCTAGGCTCCACTAGGGAAGAGACATATGTACTGTACACAAATGTCCCACTCAGAATGTTTCTCCAGCCCCTAGGATACTAGAGTATGATCCCGTTCAAACCAGTCAGAACCCTTATAAAGATGGACCTCAGC